AATTTTGACACATACGTGTTCCATATGTGCGTGGCCAACATAATATGGCGTCGGATTCGCGAAATTCACTTTTTAAGCCCTCGAAAATTGACTGCAAAGTTTCGGGAATAAAATAATATTATTTTTTCAATTTTTGTCGAAATTCCAATTTTTGGCCAAAACCACTCTAAATGTGCGTGGCCACCCCAAAATGACCTTGGCCGCGAAAAATAATCTCAAACGGCCTCCGAATCCAGCCTCGGTGCCCACAGGGGCAAAACCGTAATTTTTCACCCCCGGACCGAAATTTCACTTTTTAACCATACTAACTCAAAATATGCGTGGCCAGCATAATATGACGTCAGATTCCCAACAATAGTCTCTTAAGCCATCGAAAATCAACATCGAAATTCGAGCCCAATTTCGTGATCAAAACTCGCTCAATTTCCAATTTCAGGGTCTCTCACTAACGGGCGGCTGTTTAGAGGTTACGCGTATCGACCTAGGGTTATCCGAGTCATGACGGTCCTGATCATTGAGAGTATGAGAAATTATCACTAGTCCCAGAGATCACGATCGTCCGGTTTAAGTTCAGGACTGGTTGGCCACGTGCACTCTCGGTCATGCAGAATCACCTGCGATCCGATTGTACATCGTTGGCCTTGGCCAAACCAAATCCGTTACTTTTTCTAAGATCGATCCACATTGGTTTATAATATTCTCTCATCATTTCTCGTGATCGGTGTCCGCTTCGCGATCGGATCCTTGGTCCACGTACCGCTTTCTAATTAGCCATACCCTATTGGTTAGTATCCCGAGAGTGATCAGCTCTGGGCGAGACTTACTAAAATGAAATGCGAAATATTGTCAATTTTATTGATCCCGGAACTACATCGAAATTCGGGCTGTTACATTATTAATTAAATACCCGTAATTCTATATTTCACCATAACCAAACAATTCAATTTGGCATACAAACCAATATATAAGGCAAATTCTAGCTTAGGCATCACAATTTAAGCCTAAAATAAACACAATTTAATTTCGGAATTTCCACAAAAATATTAATAAAATAATAATATTTTTAATTCCGAAAATTAATAAAATATTATTATTTAATTCCTGAAAATTAATATAATATTCCAACCGCTTAACAACTAATTCCTAATTAATTAACACTAAACATAATTAACTTAAACTAATCCGCTCGAATCAAGTTTAACCTACTAAGCAATGGATTAAGGCGATAACTCACCTGTTAGCGAATCCGACGACACGAGCGCGACGGCGGTGGCGAGGGCTACGCGTTGCACTGTCCGAAAAAGACACGGAACGACGACGGTGGCTGGGTCTCGGCTGGACAGCAGCTTTGGGGCGGCTGTTTTGCCTCGGCGAGGCTCGGTTAACGGCGGAAATGGCTTGGATGAGCGGCGTTCGGCTCCGGGGCGGTCACGGCAAGCTACTGGCTGTTCTGTGGTGGTGCATGGCAGCAAGAACAGCAGCCCAAAGGCTGTTCTGCTGGTTTGGGCGTGAGGGAGGAAGAAAGGGAGAATGTGGCCGGTTGGTGAGGAGAGAAAGAAATGGACGTGAATGAAGGGGGGGGGGGGGGGGGGGGAGGGGGGAGAGAGAGAGAGAGTGTGGCCGGTTGGGGGAGGAAGAGAGAGAAATGAGAGATATTTTCTCTCATTAAAGCATGTCTCAAAGTCTTCTTTCATTATCCAAAAATGCACAAAAGTCCTCTCTCTTAAATGCTTTTGTTTCTTTGTCTTAAATGCAAGAAGGGTAATTTGGTAATTTCACAAGGTATAAAAATACTTATACGCGTATACGAGCTAGAATTTCATACGGGCTCGTATAATCAAATTTGGGCTCAAACGGATTATGAATGGGCTTGAAAATGCTAATGGGCTCAAACTTAAGCTTGAATTGCAATTGGGCTTGAAATTGGGTTCAATGGGCTAAATTGGGCCACTTGGGTTTGCCTTGGGCCCATGTGGCCGAATCACATTGGGCTTGAGGCCCAATGTGCCTTCATCCGGCCCACTTCCTCATGGGTTCAAATTCTCGGCCCGTTAAATCCTTTTCCGAGAATTTCGAGCAAACCGATAAACGAGCAAATCAATGAGGCGGTGTCCAATAATTTAGTTTTGAAATCTTCGAAGATTCGACATCCAAATTCGGATTCTATTTCGTGGTAAAAATCAATCAATTGCGACTTTAGTATATCTCAAACTAACGGGTGGCTTTTAGGAGTTACGCGTATTCGACCCGTGGTTGATTCGGTATCAAATCACGTTTAAGTTTTCTCGAACCATGGATGATCTTGATTGTCATGTAATTGCGAGGGATCAATCGCTAGTTCCGAAGTACGCGATCATCAGTCAATGGGTTTAGGATCGTTTGCAATACATACAACGGTCAAGCGGAATTACCTACGATCCGATTGTATGCTATTGGCGAATCGTTTTATAACCATTCCTTGATCGGTCTATAATGGCTCAAAATTGTCTCTCGTCAATCCTTATGGTCGAATTGTCAATTCCCGATCGAGTTCTCAGGTCATGCGTACTTAATTCCTTAACAGTCTTTCCCAATCGGTTAGTCACTCATGAGTGATCAATTCAGAGCGAGAATTACTAATAGTGCATCGATTAAAATCATCATTTCATTACATTCCGAATAGGGTCGAATTTGAGGATGTCACACCATTCGTCTGCTTGAGATCCGAGTTGGTGAATTAGTACCTCTTCGATACACCATTCGTCTAGGGAATCTGAAAGGATTAGCCTGATCGAGATCAATGGCAATTTCAAGGAAGCTAAACTTATAGACGATGATCTTGACCAAAAAGAAAAATAATAGATGACGATGGTAAGGACTCATATAAAGAAAATTTTATAACGAGCCATATGAATGAATATTTTACGTAATTAATTTGACTTAATTTTAAGTTGAATCCTACTTACCTTTAATTTGGTTTAGCATTTACCTATATGATGATGTAGATGTATGGAGTATGGCACTAAAAAGGTTCATATAAATTTAATGAGAAATAAATAGCGCCGGTTGAATCGTGTATAACTTTTTTTTTATGCAATTTTATAAAAAAAATTAAGCGAGTGTTTTTTTATACTTAAATGTTGAAGTGACAGTCATAAGTAAGATAAGTTATTTGAAGAATTGTTTCCGCTAATTGCTATTAACATATAGACAAGATGTATTTATTTTTACTTTACTTATTTTTTTAATCTAGATCTCGGGGCTCACGCCTTGGACTTTTATTAACTTCAAAATTTTTTGAAATTTTCACTATACTCAAATATTTGATACTTAGGGCGCGTTTGGTAAGTTACCAAACAATAACAATTTCTATTTTTTTGTTCTCAAAATCAATTTTGAAACAGAAATTCGTTTGGTAAATTTTTTATTCCCGGGCACAAATTTGCCAAAATTTGTTCTCAGAATCAATTTTGGAATAGAATCAAGAAGCAAAAAAAAGTAGCTTCTTATTTCTAGAATCAGTTTTGGAATAAAATCAAGAATCAAGAAATTTTTTCTTTTTCTTTTTCTTCTTTTCGACGGCTGGCAACTGGCCACAGGCCAAGGCCGATGAGGGTGTCGCTGGCGAGGGCGAGGGTTGGACCCTCGTTGCCTGGGCGAGGGCCGCCCTCTCCGGATCTGGCGTGGGTAAGGCTTGCCCAGGCGGCGAGGGTCCAGCCCTCGCCCTTGCTGCCGCCCTCGCCAAATCCGGCGAACAAAAAGAATTAAAAAAAGATATATACTGGTGGCCACGGAATAAAAAAGAATTATTTCTTAGTAGAATCAGCTTCCGGGAACAAAATGGTTGCCAAAAAGCCATTAGATTCACATACATTTTTTTTTTGCAGAATATTTTAACATTCAAATGATATTCTTAATTTTGACTGAAAAAGTAAAAGATATATACTTTTTTGCTCTTATATAAGTCCGAAGGAACATACTTTCTTTTGATGGAAAATGGTCTTCTATTTTAATCTTATAAATTTAACGAACTCCTACTCTGTTTACATGAGGCTCGCGCTTTCTTCACTAATAACAGAGCGCGAGGCTCAGAAGCATTTGCCACCTCTCATTTTTGCTGCAAGAGCTCTCTCAGCCCTTTGCTCTCTCTCTCTCTCTCTCTCAAGAAGATGCAACTCCTGCACTGCCCATCTTCTCCATCTCTCTCCTTATGCTGCTCAGAAGTTCAACCAAACAGGGGTAACTTCTGCGCTCATTGATGCGATGATCATTGGACCGACACTGCCACTGCTCGTTTCAGCACCTGGGCCTTTCTGTTGTAGGACTGTGCTTCGTGGCGAATTCCCTCACAGCATCGGCAACCAGCTCTTATGTCCGGCAACAATGGCTTCGAAGCTCCAGATGGGTATCTCGCAAACTGTCCGTTTCGAATTCCTCTGCAGCTAAGGCTGCTTTAGTGGAAGGTACTTTCTGTATTTTTTCTTTCCTTGTTCTTTCTATGGATAATTTGAATCCATTGATTTCTAGGTGCCTGTTATATTTGGTAAATACCCAAATGGGATTCTTTTTCTTTTTCTTTTTTATGTTTGAGTTTTTATCTATCTGAGCTATGAGAACCCAGTAACTACTTTCGAGAACAAAATAGAAATGTTGAGAATTTGACAGAGTGATCTTGTGGATTGAGTGGAAGTGATACAGTTAAGATTTTTTCTAGTACGCCAATAGCCTGATTTGATTAAATGTATCGTCGTAAGTAAGTGTCCATGTTCAGTTCTTCGTAACTAAAGGACCCCTGACTTCTCTAAGTGCTTGAATATGAAAAGATTGGTTATTGAAGATTGTATATTATTGGAAGAAATCAATAGCTCTATCGGTCAACTAGGGCGCCTAAAGTACTTGGAAATCAGTAGGAAGGATCATCATGGGATCACTCAAGAGAGTGCCCCTGACAACGATTTTGTCATTCATCTATTACCAGACTCGATTGGTGGTTTGAAATCCTTGTCAGTGCTGAAGATGCAAAATCAGGATGATGTTGGAGAACTTCCGCACTCAATAGGGAAGCTACTGGGTTTGAAGCATCTGTCTCTACGTGGTTGTACTGAGCTTAGTAAGCTTCCAGATTCTATTGGAGAGTTGAGATCACTCCTCTATTTGGATTTATCTGAGTGCATTACCAGATTCCATCGGAAGACTAGAGTTGCTACTCAAAATGGATTTATCTCGAACAAATCTTGTAGAATTACCATATTCTATAGGCAACCTTAGACGGTTGAAGTTCATGTGTTTGAATTGGACTAAGATAAGAGACCTACCGAAGAGCATATGGACTCTGGAGAATCTTGAGGAGTTGACTGCCAAAAGCTCTCAAAATTTCGAGGGGGAAATTCCAAGTGAAATCGCGAGACTATCCCAATTGAAGATTCTGAACTTGTCCCGGAGCAAGCTTAGTAGACTGCCAATGACAATAAATCAGCTCTCTAATCTCCGAGAACTTGTTTTATTGGATTGTGCCAAGCTTCGGTTGCTACCAGATCTCCCGACAAGTTTAACAAAGCTAGAGTTGTCCTCTTCATTGTTGAAGGAAGTACCCAACCTCTCGAAACTCACTAATCTACTTCATCTGGACATAAGTGATTGCACTTTTGACTTTAAGTTTTTCAAAACAACACAAGCACGGGTTGCAAATTTGAACCTAGAATGGCTTGGTAGGCTACATGAATTGCAGATTTTGAGACTGGTTCTTTCCGATTCCAACTTGCCTTCGACTAACTTGAGCTCCCTTACTCAGCTCCGGTCACTTGAAATAACTTGTTCCGACCCACGGTCGCTGACACAGCTTCCGTCCAGTTTAGAAGTCTCGAGCTTAGAAGATGTGAAGACCCCAATAGAATGGCCAATGTTCTCCAACCTGGGAAATTTGTGCGAATTAGAGCTCTCTGGCTGTCGGTTAAGAGAGATTGAGTTTGACCATGTGCTTGGACAGCTAGAGAATCTCCAGCGACTGCAAGTGCGCATGTGCAAGCGGCTGGTGAGGCTATCCAATCTATCGAGCTTAAAGGAGCTCGGAGTGCTGAGTGTGGAGTACTGCCCGCAACTTATTGAGATCGAATCCCAACGATCTTCAACGGGAGGTTGCAGTTCCACAGAAAGGCCCATTCCTGATACACTGAAGCTAGAGAGCTCCGGTCTTTGAGAGTCTACTATTGTGAATCGGTGCGAAAGTTGCCTGCTATACCAAATGCGTGTGACGTCGAGGTTATCCCATGGCAATCCTTAACAAGATCTGAGACTGGGCCCACTTTTGTTGATGATCCGCTGACATTGAAGAAGAAGAAGAAGAAGAAGAAGAAGAAGAAGAAGAAGATATATGAAATATGAGCAATCGGCGTGGCCCGCCCAAGCACCAGAACCGTACGCCTGGAAGCCCCCAACCGCCGGCGCTAAAATCAACGAAACGGTAGGCCCCCCAAAATCGGAAAATCCTAGTTCATTCGATAATTGATTCGCATCATTCGAATCCCTACGTAATTGAATCGAAAGAGGCGAGACTTGGGATTGATTTCTGGTTTGCAATTTAGGAAGCTGGAGGGAAGTTCCAGCTGTACTCCGAGATGACTGGAGTTCGCGCTCGATGTGAAGAGCTGATTGCGCGGAAACGCCCGTTACCGCAAGCGTAAGCCCCTCACTGAACCTGCTAAGTGGTCAAAATTATTATTCTTTGGCATATTTGCTTGTGTTGATTCTGGTTTTGCGTTCGAATTGGTGCTCCAAGTTGTACAGTTACTGATTGGTGATTACTTGCGTGGTGTTGTAGAAATAAGTAATTCTAGGAGGGCCTCCAGAAATCGCCGAAGTCCGAGACTCTGCCGCCGCCGAATCCGCCGGTGGCTGTGGCCGAGCTTGGCCAAGAGCTCCTCCCAGAAGGTGGCATTTGGCCACTCCTTTGGCGTCTACTTCCCATGCTCCTCCGCCCAAGTCCAACCCTGCCTGCCGGACATATGCAAGCAATCCGCTGGACTTGCACGAGCGAGGTGAGACGATTAACCCACGAAAGAGGGATCCACCGGGCTCTAACGCTCTTGAAAGACAGGAAAAATAATGAGCTCTCGGATGGTACAATTGGCGGAGCCATAAACAGGGGCGTCTCGGCCAAGCACACTGGAGACGATTCCGATGACTGCCAGACGTCGTGGACCAGAGGTTGTGATGCGGCATTGGGGTCGAGACGGTAGCAACTGGACGTGGTAGCTGTGAACGAGTAAATGCGAGGATTTGAGACACAAGTGAGTTGGGGTTAATTGAGATGAAATCATCAACTTCAAGCTTCTTCGAGACGAGCATTATTCTAGAGATGTGTGTTAAAAACGGCCACACTTCAGGTTTTTGAAAATTTTTCTTATTATTGGATGCGAATTTTAGAAGTATAACCATTTTGTTTTAGGTTTATTGTGCTTTAATCAAATTTAGGCATTGACAGATCTAGAGATTGAATGTGCTTCAACAATAAGCACAGGACAGACATTGATTGCGTGTACCTATACACACTCTGTGAATTTCATTTTGCTTGCCACCTCTTTTGACCCCAAACTCTTATATTGCTTGGAAAGCTTTGTCTTCCTGTCAGGAATACCTGATATTCAATCTTACAGCGTACACATTCATTCTAAAATGATAGAGCAGTATTGCTAGATACAGTCACGTAGGTCCGCTTCTATTAGCCCTCCACACCAACGCTGAGCATAAATTTTGAAACAACTGAGAGATTGGTTGCTTCCATCAATCTCCTAGTTGTTAAAGTTTAAACCGCTATGCCTTGGATGTTGAGAAATCTGAACTACTATTCTTGCACATATAATTCTGCTCGACAATATTCATCAATGGCCCTAGTTTAGGAAAGCGACATTGCGCTGCAAGGACTCTTATGCGCTTTTTCTTCATTATCTCTTCCTGCAATTCATTTATTTGGAATTTCGTCTTTTAATGTATACGGCAGATTGTCCGCGATTTTATTTGAAAATCTTATGCACTCGGCTTAAAGCTACTCAGTTTGCCGACAGCTGATAGTTCCTTCGAAACTCTGTTGGGTAGGGATATAGCGAGGAAAACAGACTTAATCTGTTTCCAGTATAAAAGCAACAAGATTCAATCCATAAAATGCAACTGCTTGTGGTATGATCTTGGGGCACAAACCGGCATAAATGTACGGAAGAGTCGACCCTATGTAAAAAGCCAGAAATACCTTATTAGTGTTTCGCAATACTCGATACAGAGTAACAGGCATAAGCAGGTCGAGTTTAGCGAACTTCCGTAATTACTAAGGTCCATCTGTTCCGAAATTCTTTTCAAGTGTTGGGAACTTCAATGATGTGTTTGCTTTACCATCAAGATGGTCCTTATGGCTGTGAAATTTTTTGGCGAAGAATGGTAGCTCTGTGTCATGCAGTATATTAGTTTTACTGCAATACCTGGAGCGAACTGCTTTCCCACTCTAAAGAATGACCGGGGTTACCTGTAGTCGTATTCAATGACCTTATTATCAGGAAAGATCACTTCTTGGCATGTCTGAGTGATACTGTTGGGGAAACTGTAAATTTTCTTCAGGAAGTTTTAGCGACATCAGGTTGACATCCAACGGCCACATTCAGTGAAAGGATCATTCGAAGGTATGGCCTCTGAATATTTTTGCGACTCATCCTTGCTCGACCTCTTTGACATCTATGGTGGTCTTCAAATGATTTCGTTTAGGTCATGATGAAACATCTATGGAGAGCAACATGTCGCTCACTCTGCTTATATCTAATCCATCTGATATTCGTTTCCAAGCAGTTAGTAGAGAATTTTGTGCTTCCGCAATTTTTAGATTGTAAGTCCTTGGAGCTGCACTGCTCTTTCCTATGGAACGACTGCTACACGAGTGTTGCAATTCTACAGCATCGCAAAACGGGGTGATGCAATCTTCATGGAAGATCGACATTCTTGCCAGGTGTGTGAGCAACTATCTACTGATTTGCAGCATCAATGTCAACTTGGACTTGAATGTTGCCTCGGTCATCAAGTCTGACACGATTTCCTCAACGATCTCGTTTGGAAGGTCCGGTGGAACTCCCAAATGCACCAAGTGCGGGCATATGGTGTCGTAATCGCACACCGCTGGCCATGGAAGTTAGTGAATTAGTGCCCCCCTATTCGATACAACATTTGTCTTGTTAGTTTGCACAGAGCATAAGGAATCTAAGAGGATTAGCTAAGAGATGATGATGGTGAGGAGTCGTATATGGATACTTTGTAACGAGTCGTAGGAATGACTTTAATATGTGATTAATGTAACTTAATTTTCAATTGAATCCTCTTCACACTCTAATGTTGATTTCCTCATTTTTTGTCAATTCGGTTAGTATTTACCTACATGATTTTATAAACGCATAAAGTACGGCAATAACAAGGTATACATAAATTAAAACAATTAACCCTTTTATTTATATGCGGCTCGGGCTTTTTCTACTAATAACAGAAAGCGTAAGGCTCACAAACATTTGCGCTCATTTAAGCAATGGTCATTTAATCGACACCGCCACTGCTTGATTCATCACCACCTGGGACTTTCTGGTGTAGGACTGTTTTCGTGGAAGGTACTTTTTTTTTTTCCTTTTTCCTTGTTCTTTTCATGAATAATTCGAATCGATTGATTATTAGGTGCCTGTTTTATTTGGGAAATACCCAAATGGCACTCTTTTTTTTATGTTTGGATATTTATCTATCTGAGGTACGTGAACCTTGTAACTCAGAACTATTTTCAAGAACATACAATGAACTGTTCAGAATTTGACAGAACGTTCTTGTGGAGTGAGTGCAAGTGATATAGTTAAGAGTTTTTCTATTAAGCCAAATATCTCGAATTTTTTTCAATCGAACACATCATAGTAAGTTCTTTTTTTTTTTTACAGAGCTGTCCATGTTCAATTCTTCGTATCTCTCTGCAATTTGTTGTTTGGAGCTAATAATCTGGTACTTGTGCCATCATATCAATCTGCTTCAGCTAATACATATCATACTCCCTGCCAAGATGAACTACATGTTCTGCCATGAAGAAAATTTAGGAGGTTTATCTGGCAGGCCAAATAAAATGGACTTGCTCTGTCACACTGTGTTCTTGGAATTGCGAAGAAACTATACTTGACCAGAAAAAATTTGACCAACCTTGTGTTTGTGCGCGCGCTTGCGTGCATGAGTTGTATTATTGAGAAGCCCACCCAAACCAACAACTCTTGGCTACCCCTTGTCAACACTGAATTTGAATGGCCCTGAGTGAGATGCAGAAGGATATTAGAGCTAAAAATCGTAATGGATGAAGAGCCAAATAAAATTTCCTATCCTGGATGTGCCGCCAAAAATTATTGGTTAGTTTATTGCTAAGTTGTCGCCGCTAGTTCTCCTCTGATTGTTTCTCTTTTTATTACAATAGTTGTTCATCTCGTAAGCTTCACGTCATTCTGTGTACCTAATCTGCTCTTGTAGTAGAAGAGAGCACTTCGGCAGTTTTGGCACAGACGGCGGAAAGTGATGTGCTTAAAGCCTTGTCTCAAATTATTGATCACGACTTTTTCATGTGGTCTTGTTAAGGACCTCCTGATAGATGAAGCTCTTGGAGAGGTTATTAAAGAATCAATATGGGATTTTAGTCTTTGTACATTTATAAAGAATGACACCCTTACCCTACAATGTCTTGGCTTTGATTCTCAGGTTTCGTTCTGGTTAGAGCTCACTACACCTGAATGTCCAATCAAGGACATGGTAAATAACACAACCTATGTTGCTTGATCAATCACCAAATACATGTTCAGTGCACTAGATGTTTTGTCTTGTCTAGTAATTGCTTTTAGAAACCATTGTCACCTCGTTTTGACATCCTTCCATAAACCTCTTTGTGCATGTACAATTTCCAAGTATCGATGGAGCTAATCTAGGCACATTTTTTCTGCTTCATTATGGATTCGTAAGAGTATTTGCCTGATGTATCAGGTTTCTGAACCTTCAATAGTTTAACAGCATGAGTATTGCTTGAAAGTTTGAGCAGCAGTCGAATGAGGTGGTGGCTAATCTTCCTAGGGTCAAGAATGTTAAAGTAACCATGTCAGCAGAACCAGCAAAACCTGTTTTCACAGGTCAACTTCCTCCAGGGTTACAGATGAGCTCACACGTTATGGCAGTTTCAAGTTGCAAGGTAGGTTACATAACCTTTTGTTGTACTTCATTTTCCAGGTTGTGGCTATGCAGGAATTTCAGTGCATGACATTTGCCAAAACAATGTTTTCGGGTTGCTTTGAGACGGTTGACTATGATATAAGGATGGCCAGCAGTTTCATTCCATTGTGGTGATTTCCCTGATTAGTGAATTTCACAACAGAAAAGATTATTCTTTGAGTAATTCCAATTGCAGTTTTACATGTCGTTTGGTTGCTGAAGCAGTTAGGTGTGGGATCTTTATTGGAGTGGAAATATCTTATTAAAAAGTACTATTCTATAATTTCTTCTATCATGACTGCTGTCTATCAGAATTGTTCTGGGGGGCATGGAAGATCAACTGTATCTGTAAATCTTGCATATACTCCGTGTTTTGAGACTCCAGGGCTCGTGTCTAACTAAATATGTGAGATCATAAATTTCACGGTTCATCATGTGCTGCTGAAATTTTAGGCTTATCCCCCCTCTCACAATCAAACTAAAGGAATAACTTTAAGAAATTGCATATCTTTTCGATTCTTGGCTTTCGTCATCAAATGATTCAAAGTCTCAATCTTCCTTTCAGTGTCAACAGCCGCAGCTTATGATAGAGACATCAAGGCAATCAAAGTGAAGGTTCCGGGTTCCGACAAGGAGTTCTTTCTACACACTGCAATGGTGAGAAGGAGCGACCGATCAGCTCAAAGTGTCGCATAAGGACTTTACTTTGACCGAGAAACTCCCCCGTGTTTTTTTAGTTTTGCAAATGGAAAGTAGGATACGTAAGTTCTTATTGCAGCAATTCAATACGATCATGCATAACCTTGGGAAATAGATAGCTGCTCATGTTACGTGGGATCATGCTTTATACTGACTGCTATGACGCCTGCATGAGTATGAAACAGGATTACTCTTCTATATCCGCGAAGTCGGCCTTGCATACAAAATCAAGAGAATCTCAGTTGGAGGGATTCCCAAAATGTAATAGAGTCCGTTAATTTTGATTCTTTACAAGGATATTTATCAAGAAAAAGCAACTCTACTTGGGCTTTCCATCTTATTCAAAGCTCTGTTCTAAGAATATTAGATTCAATTATCATTCTGAACGGGAGATTTATAATTGTCAATTCGTCTAGGCAGGTCACTAAACAGTTATATGCATTGTATATAAT